AGCCAAAGGCAGACGCTTAACGACTGAGCCACCCAGGCACCCCTTGATAGCTTTCATTTTTAGACTGCGATATAGCTCTGGGGATGTTTGATTCTATATTGAATATTCTGTCCAGGCAAACTAATAGCAACTCTATAGTTATTTAGAAAGACACTTTTTTCAAATGATTACGTTTCTGATTATAAAACTGTAACTTTTAGATATGCTGTGGTGTGGATAGAGTTCATGACCTATATAATTCTGGCTTTTAAGAATTCCCTGAAGTGGCGCCTGGGTGGCTCAGTAGGTTAAGCGTTCCCCTTCAGCTCAGGTCATGATCCCAGAGTCCTGGGCTCATGTCCTGCATCGGGCTCCCTGCTCAGCAGGGAGGCTGCTTCTTCCTCTGCTTTTGTGCTCTCTCTCTGACAAATAAGTAGATGAAATCTTTAAAAAAAAAAAAAAATTTCCTGAGACTTTCTATAGTCTAATCAATGATTTTGTATACAAGTTCTATGACATTTTTGGGGTGCCTAGGTGGCTCAGTCGTTAAGCATCTGCCTTCGGCTCAGGTCATGATCCCAGGGTCCTGGGATTGAGCCTCGTGTCGGGCTCCCTGCTCAGCGGGAAGCCTGCTTCTCCCTCTCCCACTCCTCCTGCTTGTGTTCCCTCTCTCGCTCACTGTTGCTGTCTGTCAAGTAAATAAAATCTTAAAAAAAAAAAAGTTCTATCACATTTTTAAAACTTTTTTCTAAAGTACCAAACTTTAGGGACACCTGGGTGGCTCAGTCGGTTGAGTGTCTGCCTTTGGCTCAGGTCATGATCCCAGAGTCCTGGGATCAAGTCCCATATCGGGCTCTTTGCTCAGTGGGGAGCCTGCTTCTCCCTCTGCCTGGAGCTCCCCCTGCTTGTGCTCGCTCTGACAAATAAATAAATAAATCTTTAAAAAAAAAAAAAGTACCAAACTTTAATTTTACTAGTTATTCCTTATTTTTAGTTACTCCAACTTGATTTACATTAACATTTCATATACTGATAACAATTTACAACATATTAATGACCTTTTAACACTGGAGTTTTGTTTTTGCCTTAAATTGCTTGAAATTAATATTGCTAGCTCTGCTTTATGCTTAATTTTGCCTGATATGACTTTGTGTACTCATTATATTCATTTTGATTCTCCATTCATTAGTTCCTCCTATCATTTGCTAATCAACTATAGTACACTTCCATAAACTGATTTTGTAAGTGACTTGGGCATCCTGACATTTTTTTTTTCAATTGTCCTACATTGTCTATTATCTTGGCTGGTCCTAGACTTCTTGTTGTAGCTTTTCCTCTGCAAGTCTAGGACACTCCTGCACTGTTTCCTAATGCTCAGTGTTATACAGAGTCTGAGACCAGTTAGATTTTTGTTTCTTGGTAAGTAATTTTTCTCCCCAACTGCTTTTAGGCCACATCTAACTTGCGTAAATGAAGTTACTGCCTATTTCCCAAGTCCGTCCTGCAGCTTCCCACCTTCACTCACAGTTCCATCCACTTATTGTCCTCTTGTTGGAAAATACCCTCTCTCAAGAGCCAATTCAAATACCACTTGCTCCAAAACACATTTCCAGGATTCATACTAGTCAGAATTAACCCATCCTTTATCTAAATTTATGTCACTGTTGTACTTCTGTAGCACTGACATCTACAGTGTATTATTAAAGAATATACACCAGAGTGGTTATAAGTAGGTTCTGGAGTCAGATCACCAGGGCTGAAATTTCAAACCTGCCACATTGTAGTGTATATTCTTCAGTAAGTTATTGGGTTTTCTGTGCCGTTAACTCATCTGCAAAATAGTGCCTAGCTCATGGAATGTTTGTGAGGATTAAATAAGCTAATATATGTAAAATATCTAGACCACTCTCTAGAATATATAAGTGTTAGGTGAGGTCCTGATATGTATTATGGTATGTATGTGGTATGTGTTCTCCATTTGGGATGAGAAAAATTATTACGAGAGAATGAAACAGGTGCTACGAAAGATTTAAGTATTCAAAGGATGGGACAATTAAACATGAATTAAATATAATCAGCTTAGGGAAAGCAATGGCATTTCAACTGAATCCTAAGTATTTTAATTACATAGAATTTTAAAAGCACTTTTGCATGCACTAGTTCATTTAATCCTTAAACTCTGTAAGGTAATTTTGTTTTATGGGGGCAGAAATAAAGGATGGCAACTCAAATTGCCCAAGACGCAAAGAGTTAGAAAGTGAAAGCTAACATTAAGAGAAATATCACTATACTTGGAGCTTGGTAAGGTTGCTCTCTATACATCTGCATTTTTCCATCAAGGATGAATGGGGACGCAATATATGGATTGAACAGACAGGACCAAAGGTAGAGAACAGTATTCCAAGCTTTGTAAACTGCTTAAATAAACAAATGGTGGTGTGAAATGACATGGCTTTCTGGGTAAACTGAAAATAATGTGCTAAAGATGGAACACAGCACAAAGCCTTGCAAAGCAAGCCTTTGGCTGAACTGAGTAACATCTTTCAGGTGCTATTCCTTCAGTTTAGCAATCATCTATGGCAATAATCCCTAGGCTTCTAGCTGAGGAATCGATCAATATAACTGTGGCCTCTGTCTTGAAAGACAGAGAGCAAGAGAGGGAGGGAGGGAGAAAGGTAGGGAAGGAAGGAAGGAAGGGAGGAAGGGAGGGAATCTGTCATATGACTACAGTACCTAATTGGGTGTTTTAAAAATTCACAACAGGAGGTTCTAAAATAAAAACAGTAAGCATGATTATACAAAGGTAATTCCTTTTTCTCACTAAAAATGTTTTGAAGGAAATCTTAATTCTCAACAAGATTAACAATTTTACTAACTGACAACTGATTCTGAAACATAGCAAACCTAGTTTCCTCATCTTTGGGATAGAGCAAAACACGAACAGAATATGTTAACATTACTTCTTCATCCTTTTTTTTTTTTTTTAATATAAAGATTTTATTTTTAAGTAATCTCTACACCCAACATGGGGCTTGAACTTACAATCCTGAGATCAGGAGTCGCATGTTCTACTGAATGAGCCAGCCCGGTGCCCCTGGGTCAAATATTTATCGAGTACCCTGCGCCATGTGTTAGGTGCTGGCATTAAATAACAGTCCTGCACTTGTTAACGTTACTTCCGAGTGCTAAGAACCTAAGTTGCATATAATTCATCAGTTATATTATTAATCAACTGTGAAATTGTGGAAAAGTCACTTAACTCCTCTGGGCCTCAGTTTCCTATACTTGCAAAATATTGTTCCAATTTTAAAGCAGTTTGAGAAGGACTCTGAAACTCTGTATTATTTATCAATGAAAAAATTAAAAACAAAAAATAAAAATATAGCACATCTACCTATTCTCAAACTTTTGAATTACTGTCCTTCCATTACTTTCAAAATCACATGCAACTAATACCAGGTATTGCAGATAGCTCAATTGGTCTCATCAATTAGCTATATATGAATAAAATCACCTTAAAACAACATATTCTATCTAAAATTAAATCCTTCAGTGTGTACTCTGAGCAAAATGAGAGGTCTAATCACAGGTTAGAAATATTTGTCTCAAAATAATGCATTTGACAAGTCTCATCATTAAAATTCCCTTTATTTTTCCTTCAGTGAAACTCAAGTATTCCCGAAGTCCTGAATCAATTATTTCTTCTTAGTTTTCCAACAGCTGTCATTTGTCTTCTTTTGGTCTGTTCAGTAGAAAGTGAACTAGCTGGAGCAGGACATCATCATTAAAACCTTTCACATTATTATCTTCAATTGTTTCATAAAGAGGCTTACTTTGTGTCCCCCAACATATATTTTTACGAGAGTTATTTCGATCAGCTTGTGCAGTCAGTGCCAAAGTATTTAACTGGTAGCAGAAAAAGGAAAAGTATTTTCCATCTGTGATCACGCCCTGAGAGACAAAAGGCCGAGTAACATCTGCTTCACTCCAAAATCCTACAGAAAAAAGTTATACTGAAATTTACACATAGAATATAGTTTACCAAAAACATTTGCACATTAGAGGGTATCAAATATCCCCTAAAACCTAAATTATTTTACCTACCAAATTCCTGAAGATCTCAGAGTTTCCTCATCTTCTCCATTCTAATCCTATATTCTATTTCTGCATCAAAAATTATTTCCTCCTTTCTGATATCCCCAAACTCATGACACATTCTCAACAACTTCACTCTTCAACAGCTTTCAACCTTAACTCGCTTCATCTAAAAAAAGCCGCAAGCTCTATCGATGCAGATCTCCCCTACATCTAGTACTGACTTCGTTCACTTTCCCAGTACCAGTAGCATCTAGCACCCAATAACCATTACGGCCATTTACTTCACCAAAATCTACAAAAAAAATACCTTCAGAAAAAAACGGACTCCCTAAGGACTTCAATCATGTCCTTAGACAAATTCTATTCTTCCTTTACATATTTTGAAATTGGTTTTATGAGCTGCTGTTATTTCACCTTGTGTTATCTTGTGTCATAGGTTCCAGGATGCCTTTAATACCTTTACTACTCATATTTTCTGGCTTCTTGTTCTAGACTGACTGGCTTTAACCTAGGGCCAAGCAGTAATGTTCTTTCCTCATACATATTTTCTATCAGCCTTCATGAAGACAGCCAATGAATAATATTGTTAGCATTTGGAATTAAATATAGGAAAAAAGAAGCACTTTACTTTTAAAGCGTAAACAGTGCCATTCTAATGCCTTTGAGAAAGATTCCTGTTTCTGCTTCTGTCTAATCCTATTCCTATTCTGTCCATTTAAGTCAAAAATTGTGAGTAAAAGACTAAATTATATATATGTATGAAGAAAACAGGTGAGCCTAGAAATAATTAAATCTGTATTAAATTCCTCCTGGGAACTCATATAGGATCAATCTGGTTACTATTACAGTTTACTACTTCAGGTTCTGTAATAAAATCCCAATGCCTCACAATGAGCTCTGAGATCTGGCGTCTGGCTTCCTTTATCTCGTCCTCCATCATTCTCCCCCTCCCCTTTCTTCATTGTTCTTTAAACACCTCAAGTCTGTTCCTACCTCAGAGACTTGTATTTCTTTTGCCTGGAAGTGTCTTTCCCCCAAGTTTGTGCCCAGGCAGCTCCTCAACAGTCAGGTCTTCGTTCAAATGTCATTTTTTAGAGACCACCCCCTGAATTACTCCATTTAAATGGAATCGGCCCCATATCTCATTTATACCTGCACCCGGTAACCATTCTATCCCTTATGTAGTATATTTCCTCCCTACTATTACCACTAGCTAAAAATACTACATGTTTATTATCTTTTACTCTCCTCACTATAAGCTCCAAGACAGTAGGATCTGCCTGCCGCATTCAACACCGCATCTCCAAGGCTAACACCGCCTGGTTCCTAAAAAGCATTCACTATTTACTGGATGAATAAACAATCTCTTAATCCACATCCTGGATATAGCCTTCAAAGATATTATACAGAACAGTTGTGATTTAATCTAAAATTCAATCCACCAAAGCATTTCCTTTTCCAGCTTCAGAAAGCTGCTATCATCTACAGAGTTGACTTAGTTGGCTACAGTCTTTCACCTACTTGAGAACATCAGAAAATAATTCATTCACACGAAAGTGGTCAAAGTAAAAGATCAAAGTAACTATCTACACACCACCTGCCAATTGCAAATGTAAAATATTTAATTATGAATTTTAAAACAACCGTGCTTCGTGTCACTGCAAGTTTTCAAAATGTTAAGATTCAACCTACAACACTTAACCCAAAGAAACAATTAAATTCTTAAAATGTCACAGGTATCTTCCAAGAACAATGCCATAAAATTAGTTTTACCTTGATACAGAGCTTGTGCTCCAGTCCAAGCAAAGAGGCTTGCGATAGCATTAGCTCTAAAAACAACTTCTATCTGATCAGCACAGTTCTGTTTCAAAAGCCTTTCCCTTTTTAATTTGTCAGGTAACAGATGAAACTGTGTGTGACCGTAACAGTATGGGTCTGCTGTCTTTGAGCCTGAAGAGCAAAATAAAAACATTTCAGATGAAATGTACATGTGAACATCTGGAGCACACATCCTTAGTCTCTGCTTCAAACCCATCTTTCTCCTCCACACATCCTGTGATCAGTATCCGAAATATACAAGTGGGAAGGTTGATTTATTTCATTGATCATAATGAAGTTAAACTTCACATGAAAGTACAATCTGCTAGCTATCATCAAGCCCACTCTGATGACACAGGATAAGTCAAAAGAATGTATGTGAAGTTTATTTGAAATTCCCTATTTGGTTTTTTCAAACCTTTCATTCATCATTGGGAGCTACGTTATTTTCTTTGTCTTACTCTCCACATGATACCAACATTTCATTAAAAAGTCTCCTTTAGGGGAGCCTGGGTGGCTCAGTCGGTTCAGCGTCTGCCTTCAGCTCAGGTCATGATCCCAGGGTCCTGGAATCGAGCCCCGCATCGGGCTCCCTGCTCAGTGGGAAGTCTGCTTCTCCCTCTCCCTCTGCCTGCGTCTCTGCCTACTTGTGCTATCTCTCTGTCAAATACATAAATAAAATCTTTAAAAAAAAAAGTCTCCTTTATCATTTTAGTGTAATAATTACATACCTTGCTCCTAATTTTTTTTAAAAAATGATTTTTATACTATATTTCCAAGTAAATGAGAGCCAATATTTCATGATGTGTTGATATTCTTGACTTTAGTAGTAAACTTTTTTCAACCAAAAGTTCCACAGTTCACACTCTAAGACCACAGTGGCACTGAAGGGGCTGATAAAATACGTCTGGAGGACTAGTATAAAGCTGGTTTCTTAAAATCTTCAACTTTTGTCTATTAATTCAACTTGGAATTAATAGACAAAAAGATAGCAAAAGTATAAGCTACACAAGGGCAGACATCAGGCCTTATTAATTTTTATATTCCTAATGGTTATCACAGAGTGTGGCACAAACAGAAGACTTTTATAAAAAAGTCGATCACTGCCTCAAGTCTGGCTCTATACTGGTTTACTCCTGAAAAAGGACAAATTACTTTTTCTACATAATGAATCAATAAAAATACGTAAAACTATTTTTTAAAGTTAAATGCTGCTAGTTCAGTAGAAACAAGTAAAATTTTAAATGGTGAGCTGAAAGAATATTTTTCCCCCAATTTTCATGCATATTACAACAACCTAAGATTATGAATTATATTGCTTGTAAACTACCTGAACTTCTTGGTCATCAAGAATTAATTATGTAAATCTGCACAGGATACTTCGGACACATTGATGGCAAAATATTTCAAAAGAAAAACTTACCAATAAATATGGTATTTTCATATTGTCGTTTGAATAAGGGAAGTTTGTCTGGCTTACAAGTTATAACAGGGATTTCGACAGGTATAGAATAATCCAGCGGCACAAACTTCAAGAAAAAGAAAAGTCATAAATGAATTCACAGCAACACTAGTACTAATGTATAAATTTTACTCACTTTTTTTTTTTTTTTTAAGATTTTATTTATTTATTTGTCAGAGAGAGAGAGCACACAAGCAGGGAGAGCGGCAGGGAGAAGGGGAAGCAGGCTCCCTGCTGAACAAGGAGCCTGATGCAGGACTCAATCCCAGGACTCTGGGATCATGACCTGAGCCGAAGGCGGACGTTTAACCGACTGAGCCACCCAGGCGTCCCAACTCACATTCTTAATAGACTTAAAAATCTCAAGATGAGATGTGTTTTACAAAATGATTTGGTAACACCACCGTCTTGTGATGGGCCAAATCCAGCCAGCCACCTGATTGTACAAATAAAGTTTAACTGCAACACAGTCAGGCACATTCATTTACATATGGTACATAACTGCTTTTACATTATTTAAGAACTAAGATGAATAGTTGCAACACAGACTTGTGGCCCCCCAAAGCCTAAGATATTTACTGTCTGGACTTTTACAGAAAAAATGTGCGCGTGCGTGTGTATTCAGACACACAGACAACACTCAGAATATACTTATTTTCTCCACAAGAACTATAAATAAAAAAAAAATGACCAGCTTATAATTATAAAAATGCCTTGATTTATGAATAGGTAGTGTAGTCTATCATAAATTACAATCATAAACTATTATCAATTGTTTATAGGTATTTTTAAAGATTTTATTTATTTGAGAGAGAGAGAGAGAACGCGCACACACACAAGCGGCGGGGGGGTGAGGGGGAGGCAAAGGAAGAGGGAGAAGCAGACTCCCCCGCTGAACAGGGAGCCAGATGGGGACTTGATCCCAGGACCCTTACTGACTGAGCCACCCAGGCAGCCCAAAGTTTTTTATAGTAAGAAAAAGAAAAGATTTGTATGATCCTGAAAACTGATGCCTTAATCCTGCTTAAAAATTATTATTTGACCTTTGAGCACTATACATACCATAACAGGTTAAAAAGCTGAAAAAGAATTTCAGATGAGAAGTATGTGAAAGAAACTCGAAAGGGATCCATCTAAAACTTTTTATTCTACTAAGCCCATTACCTAGGCTGCCTATGACATTTCCTCATCAGATATCAGTAGATATATATGCAATAAATCCTTACCTGTGGGAGTTGTTTGGATATTCGAATCTGGTTGTGTGGTTTATCATTTATTTGGTATCGCAAAGCATCAACTCGACCTTTCCGATGACCACTAGGAATAATTTCTTCACCTCGCAACCAGTAAAAGTGAACTGGGCGTTTACAATCTATCAAAAGATATTCAAAATTTTATTTAATCATTTAGATCAATTTGGTTATTATTAGAATACCAGCAATACAGAACTTAGTAACTATGGAAATTAAAAATTATCAAAAATTACTCTTTGTTGTAAGATAGAGTCTGGGTTATATGATGATTTAACTTAAATGACTGTGACTTAAACATAATGCTCAAACATTTATTGTCTACTTGTGCCATCCATCATACACTAAACACTGTAATGGAAGAGGTTTGTCGGTTAAGAATAAACATAAAGAAAATAAGACCAAAAGGAGTATCACTCACCAGAAATAAAAAGTTTTTATAGGAGTCAGAATTACTAAATCAATCTTCACAATAACTCTCAAAGGTATGCATACAGTTGTCATCACCTCCACTTTATAGAAGAGGGATCTGGGTCTTGACAAAGTCAAGTTCTCCCAGGCCAACAGTCAGTAGTCAAAATCCCCAAGGCTTCTCTCAAGACCACTTCCTTCCCAACTGAGACAGAAGTAACATGCACACTACAGGACTCAGTTGAACACACATCTACAGTTATAACGACATTAAGTCAATAAATATTTATTAAGACACCTACCAGGCAGTAGATATAAACTAATGAATACCTCAAAAACACTGATTTTTAAAAACTGTCCGTTAATTTTTCATGTCTGCACTGAGCAGTTAAAAGAAGTTTCTGATTGTTTCCTGGGAACCCAAAATGGCTAGGTTTGAATCCTGAACTCAAATCTACCAGCTACAGGCTCTCCGACTAGGTTCATTTTACCGTTCTGTACCTCAGGGTGGTTTTCCCATTCATAAAACAATGCTACCCTACTATAAACGGTCATCATGAAGATTAAATTGGTTCGCACATAAAAATTTAGAACAGGGCTTGGTACATAGTTAAGTACTGAGTAAATGTTAATTTTACTCAGTATCACCTTTAATGTTCACACTTCTGTGAAAAAGTACTATTACCGTAATTCTCATCTTGAGAATGAGAAAAACTACTTTAACCCAAAAGAGGTTAATGAACTGACATGCAGTCATGTAACTTTTTGGTGGAAGGGCCAAAAGCCAACTTCAGGTCTGCCCCGCCCTCTAAGAGCCCCTTCTCTTAACCAACACTGTTCTTCCATTCCATTTGGCTGGACCTTCACAAAGCAGAACCAAACACTGGAATCGTGGAAGGCTGTACAGCTAGGAGGCGGCAGCCCAGGGCCGGAAGGGAACCCAGTCTCCAGATTCTTGGCGCAGTGACTGCTATTAAACCTGGCGGCGCCCAGCGAGGCACGAAAAGACTAGAAATATAATTAACAATGCAGAAAGAAAGAAAGGAACAGTCCCCCCCGCCCCCGCCCGGCGTGGCAGCCCCAAGGCTCACCGAGGGTGGCGGTGGCCAAGGCGGGGTTGTGTGCGCTGAGCAGGCCCATGAGGGTGGCCACCAGCTGATCCAGGAAGGGCGAGGCGATAGCCTCGCGGTCCTGGTAGAGGGGAGGGCGCCGCTTGCGCCGCAGGTAGAAGTGCTCCTGCAGGAGGCAGTCACACGCGGCGGCGCGCAAGGCCGCTAGGTCCAGGACGGGCGCGGGCTCCGCGGGCTCCGCGGGCTCGGCTGGCGGCGGCGGCAGGCCCGACAGGAACGCGGTCTTGGTGAAACTCTGATACCAGCGGTCAGCGTTCAGAGCGAAAGTCTGCGGATAAACCACGTACTTCATGAACTGCATCTTGGTGAGGATTCGCAGCTTCTCGTCCACCGACACGGCCGCGTGCACCGTCGCCTGCCACCGCTCCACTCGCCGCTGCCGTGCCGCCTTGCTCTTGGCAGTCAGGGAGGCCACAATCGGCGGGTAGCGCGCGACGGGGGCCGCCGTGACATCGGGGCCGGTCACTTCTGGAGCCGTGACGGCGGCCTCTGCCGCAGTGTGCAATGACAGCCCCGGCCCGCGGAGGGCTAGCCTGCAGCACCTGGCCGCCGCCATCTTTGCTCAAGGTTTCGGACCCAGAGGTTAATTTCAGGAAATGTCGCTGCGCTCTTGACGTAAGGACCAATCGAAAGCGGCATTTGAGCCAGGCTTGGGGAGGCGGATTCTCAGTGGGCCTGAGATACGTTGCGTCATTCATTTCTTAGCCAATCAGATCACTTCTCCATCTTAGTTTCCAGCGCCCGGGAGCGTTCGTAGACCCGAGGCAGAACTTGCTGCCTGTTGGTTTTCCGCGGGCCGGGCTGGGAGGAGTGAAAGTTTTAAGTAGGAGTTGCCACCACCTAGGTTGCTCTTCCGACCGCGGCACGAACCCCTTGACAAATTTCATTTAGGAACTTTCTGCACCGGAACCTCTAGCATTTATTGGCTTCTTTTGTGTGTGCCACATCCCACCTCTTGTCTTAGTTCTTAGAGTTGAAATTTAATGGAAAATATTGTTCTAAATGTTTTATGGCTAATACGTGCTTACTTTTAAAATGACGCAAGCATAACTCATAGATGGCCACTGCTAATCTGTGGAAAAATAATTCCATATGTTTCTCTATGTTAATTGATACATAATTTGTTTTAATTCCCCTAATTTACAAAACGGGGAATATACGTTTAGTTGGATTTAACTGGAAAAAAAAAGGAAATAACAATAAAAACCACTAACGAATTGTGTTTAAATTTTGCTTTGTATTAAAACTCATTATTATTTCAACATGAGTCGATTCCTATTAATCTTTCAGCAACCTGAAGAAAGGAACTGTTTTATTTTTATTTTTAATCCTCAGCAATCAATCAATACCTATGTATAGTGGGTCATCACTAAATACCTGCTGAAAAAGTCAATTGTTAAAATTACTGAAAATTTAAGCTCATTTCAGGTGATCTAACTTATTAACTCACACTCCTATTACAGCTAGGAACTGGAAAAATACTTACTTGGATTTATTGCAATAATTCTTGAGGGTATTGAACACCAAACATTTTGTTTCTAAAAGGAAGTTATAACATGTATATCTTTATGTTAGAAGTGATGATGCAATTTATGAAGTTGCAAGTCTATTAAACTGACATTTAGCAATACATACTTCAAATTCATTACAATAATATCTTCTGTGAGAAGTTGCTAGCTTGAGATCAGGGTGCCAGCATGGTGGGGTCTGGGGAGAGCTCTCTTCCTGGCTTGAAGACAGCTGCCTTTTTGCAGTGTCCTCACATGGCAGAGAGAGACTGAGCTCACTCATATCCCTTACTATAAGGAAAAAGGCCTATCAGATTAGTGTCCTAACCTTATGATACCTTAATGACTTCCATAAAGGCTCTGTCTCCAAATATAGTCACATATGAATTTTAGGACACAATTCAGTCCAGAACACTATGGCTGATTGGGAAGTAATGATTGTGGAGGGTCAAATTTGGAAGGAGGGACACCAGTTAGAAGACAATTTGCCATATTTCAGGCAAGAGCTGATTGTGGCCAGAAGGGACAATAGCAGTAAAGATAGTGGGAGTGGTTACAGATTCTCAGTTGAGTGTAGGTAGGAGAAAGTCTCCAAAATTTTGGGCCTGAACAGTCAAATAAGAGAAGGCCTGTGGACAAGAGATGCATTTTTCCTTTAATCTCTCATCTTTTTCTGGGGTGGGCGTTGGAGAGGGAGGTGATTTGGGGAAGGAAATAAGAGAATTTGTGAAATATGAATTTATATCTGTTTATTTGATTGACATTCTCCTAGAAGAAAATAGATAGTAAAGATTTAATATCCCTATTAAAGTTGCCGCTGGTCTTAGATTTAAATATTATAGTCAAAAGCTATGACATTCACCAAGGATTTTGGAACCCTCTCTACTTCATTCTTCAATAAGTATTTATCAAGTGACTGCTATATGCCAGCACCGTTCTAGGTACAAAGGAAACAGCAGTGAAAATGGCCTTCATGGAGCTTACGTGCTAGTGGATAAAATCATCTAATCCAACATATCAAATGATCAGATACAGATGTTCTATGTTAGGCAGTGACAGGAGACAATAGGAAAATACAGCAGGGAAGGAGACTAAATCGTATTGGGTGGAGTGGAGTGATTTCAATAGACAGGGCAGAGAAGGCCCCCTGAGAAGGCGACATTTGAATAACATCTGAAGGAGATGAAGGATAGAGCCATGTGGATATCTAGAGGACAAATCTGAGCCAGGGCAAAAGCCACAGTATATCTGGAAAGTGGGAGGAACAGCAAGGAGGGCAGTGGGCTAACGTGGAAAGGGACACTGGCATTTTGTCAGTGATAGCCAATATGTTATTCAGAAACAAGTTCTGATGAGTTGCGTGATGTTTATAATCACAGGTTTGTTTTTTTGTTTTTTGTTTTTATTTTTTTCCCTATTGTGGTTGGGCATCAGAACAGTTCTGTTGATGTTTGGATGAAATGAAAGCTGCCCAGGTGATTGTAGTCCTTACCAGAGCTTCTTATATCTAAAGTTGAGGATATGGGAAGGAAATGGCAACAGGATATTTTCTATGTACAGATGTGGATGAGAGTGACAGCTGGTCCTTTTCAGCTATTTCCTTCACACACACACACACACACACACACATACACACACACACATTTTTTTTTACCCAAGGCATATTTCTTACCTGGTTGCATATATAACACATTTACATAAAACTGAAAACATAATATAAAGTACCACTAGGGGAGAGGTGTGTATGAGTGTGTGTGTGTGTGTGTGTGTGTGTGAACAATTTGGTTTAGAATCAACAGGAAGGAAGCTAAGTGTTTACATCTTATGCCAGGTACTATATTAAATACTTCATATAGGTCATCTCCCATAATTTCACAATCATTCTCCAAAGAGAATATTATTTTTCTTCTGATTTTTTTTTTTTGCAAAATCACAGAACTCTTGCTCACAACAGATAAAGAATAGCTAAAACATTTTTTTAAGGATTTTATTCATTTATGAGAGACAGAGCGTGAACACGAGGGGAGGGAGGGGCCCAGGGAGAGGGAGAAGCAGACTCCTCGCTAAGCAGGGAGCCCAATGCAGGGCAGGATCCCAGGACCCTGAGATCATGACCTGAGCCCAAGTAAGAAGCTTAACCAACAGAGCCACCCAGATGCCCCTACCTAAAACAATTTTGAAAAAGAAGAATAAAGTGGGAGGATCAGTTTACTTGATTTCAAGGCTTTTGAGACCATAATCAAGGGAGGAAAGCTAGCCTTTTCAACAAATGGTGCTGGAGCAATTGGACATGGACAGGCCAAAAATGAAACAAAATAAAAAACCTTGACCTATCTCTTCCATCTTTTGGAAAAATTAACTTGAAGTGGATCAAAGGCTTAAATTTAAACATAAAATTATTAGAAAAAAACAAGAGAAAACATCTGTAGGTGCTAGAGCTAGGCAAAGAATTCTTAGAGTTGACCGAAAGTATGATCCATAAAAGGAAAAATTAATAAATCGGGCATCATCAGATTAAAGCTTTTGCTTTGCAAAACACCCCATTAATACCCTTAGTAAGGGGTGCACTTGTGATGAGCACTGGGTGTTGTATGTAAGTGATGAACCACTGAGTTCTCCTGAAACCAATATTGTGCTGTATGTTAACTAACTAGAATTTAAATAAAAATTTGAAAAAAATTAAGTAAAAACACTCTGTTAAGGGATCTAAAAGATAAGCTACAGAGTAAGTGAAAATAATTGCAAACCATATACCTGACAAACAACTGGTATCTGGCTTTGTCACTTTCACTTTCCTTATTTAGACCAGATTAATAACACCCACTTTACAAGTTTGCTACAGCGATATATGAGGTGACATATGTAAATGACGCGGAACAACATTTGCTGAGTACCAAATACTTTATATATGCCAATGGTTTCAATTTCCTCAGCAACATACTTTAAATCAGAGCGCCGATTTTCCTGAGAGGTAAGGGATTTGCTCAAGCTCATAAGCTCCAGAACCAGCATTAAACCATGATCTCTGACCATGATCTCGCCTGTGCTCTTTACACCAATGGTTTTGTAAATTAGAATGATTCTTCTGGAAGAGATCCAGGAATTCTTAAAAGGTAGTAAGTCAACTTCCTAAGACCGTATGCACAATTTAGTGATAATAGGAAATTGGAATAATATGAAAGTCATCTATAACTACTTAGCATAAAAGAAAATATTTCAGAATTTCTTGTGTGTTATTTTGACTAGTTCATGATTCTTCCTATCCAAGAAATAAGCAACATGAGGGAAACTGAAATATTTTCTCTTGGCCTCAAAAATCTTATCAGAAATACAGGGATAATAGGACAGCACAGCAATGGTCAGACAGTTTTAAGTTTGCTAAGGTACTGAACACAGGAGATCACGATGGAATTTTTATGAATAATGTGACATGATACCAGAGGCAACCTAAGTCAACTCAAAATGATATAGATCGGGGTGCCTGAGTGGCTTGGTCTTTAAGCGTCTGTCTTCGGCTCAGGTCATAACCCTAGGGTCCTTGGATGGAGCCCCTCATCCAGCTCCCTGCTCAGTGGGAAGCCTGCTTCTCCCTGTCCCTCTCTCCCTGCTTGTGTTCCCTCTCTCTCTCTCTCTCAAATAAATAAATAAAATCTTAAAAAAAAAGAAGACATAGATTGTGTGGATGAGTGGAGAAAGTTAACTGCCACAGCAAATAATTATTTATCTCATTTTGCTCCCATGAAATAAAAGCATTTCAACTTTTATTATAATTAATATAATCATTTCAACTTTTATTAGTGGAGGATAGAGTCCTCCACTGTGGGTGAACAACTCAGGCTTTAGTGTCCTGAAAATCTACATAACAACAAGCAAATATGATCATAACAGAGGATGATTCACTAAATAAAAAGTAGTAATTGGGATCAACTTCTATAGTCCATATCAATAGCATAATGTGGCAGTTTCCCACAGAAATTAAGGTTAATACATCAATTTAAAACAATTCAGAGTCCAAGGGATGGGCAGTGAAAATCTCTCTTCCTTCTTCACTCCCAGTCCCTCCTTTTCCTTCTCCAGAG